ATTCTTAAAGTTTTGATATCTAAAAAATAAATATTTAAAATAACTTTTTATAAGTTACTTAAACTAATATTTTATTTAACATTTAAAATTTTTTTTAACAAAAATATGAATATTATATAAAAATAATTTAAAAAATATATTTTTTTACTTTATATAAACTAAAACTGACTAGTTTTTTATGTTTAGTTTCAATGAATTATTCTAAAAATATTACTAGTATTCCACAAAACTAGAATGCCAAACAAATTCGCAATAGATTTTGACGTAGTGTTAAATTATTCATGTGGTTTATCTTATATAAATATAAATAAAGGTAGTGGAATGAGGTTGCAACACATAGCATTATTCATGTTGACTTAACCAAATTCAGTAGCTAAAATTTTCTAACAAATCTTTGTATATTTTGTCCCAGTCAAATTTGTATACTACTATATACGACACATTTGTATTTTAGTTTATACCATCAAAAGAGGGATACCAAGTAAATTATATCCATAATTTGACTAAATCAACAACTAGGTCTTAATTCCATTTTCTTACATATAAAGCTTTCAAAAATAAAATAACTAATTTTTAATTTCTTGTGCATTTAACTTAAGTTTTGTTAATCGATATTGTTAGATTAACAACTATATAAGTTTATAATAATTATTAGTGTTAGAAATTGTAATTCGATATTTTAATTGAGAATTAACATTCGACTGAGTTGAAATAGTTAATCAAAGTTGTAGCAATCAGTTGTATTTGACAGAGTCGAATACAACATATAATAGTGTTAAAATGTAACTTGTGATTTAGTATTTTACAGTTTTATGTTTTGGACTTGGGTTGGTTTGTATAATTTGGGTATGGTTGTTAGTTACCTATATAAAAGGTTTTGTATGATGTAAACAAGAGAACTTCACTCAATCTTAATTTTCATAATTCAGTTTACAGTTTTCTCTCTTCTTCTTCTTTGTCTTTCATATTTCTTAAAAACAGAGCGTTGTAGCGATTCAGAGAGAATATTTCTCAAAAACAGACACTGCAAGCAATATTCCTCAAGAAATCTGGGAAAGAGAAAGGAAAGAATCTTGCTAATGATGAGAAATTAAGCAAGAATAAAAAGATTCACTCTGATTTGATTAAGAAAGGCATCTGCAACAAGTATTATGGGAAGAAGGTTGACATGAAGGATTAAGAAAGGCATGTGCAACAAGTATTATGAGAAGAAAGTTGACATGAAGGAGGTGCAATATTACAACTGTCAAGAATTTGGTCACTATGCTCGAGACTGCCGAAGAAAGAACGAAGCACGAACAAAAGATAGTGATGAAGTTCACTAGATATATGTGGATTTATCATATTGAAAGGAAGTGTGAGATATTCACATAGTTCAAGAAGTTCAAATTGCACATCGAAAAGCAAAGTGGGTGCAAGTTGAAGAAATTGAGAACTAATGATGGTGGTGAATACACCTCTCGAGATTTTGCTAGATTTTGCAATGAGGAAGGTATAGGGCATGAGATCATTGCATCCTATACACCTCAACATAATGGCATAGCTGAGAAGAATAATAGAAGTATATTAAACATGACTAAGAGCATGTTGAAAGTTAAAGATATGCCAAAGAGATTTTGGGATGAAGCAACTTCAACAGTAGTATACATACTAAATAGATGTCCAACCAAGAAGATGATCGTGAAGACTCTTTATGAGGCTTGGACATGTGCGAAGCCGAATGTTATTCATATTAGAATTTTTGGATCAATGTGCTTCAGACATGTACCTGAGCAATTGCGGAAGAAACTAGATGATCAAAGTCTGACTATCGTGCTCATAGGATATCATTCAACTGCTGCATATAAGTTGTATTCACCAAATAATGATAAACTTGTGATAAGTCGAGATGTTTTAGTGGATGAAAGAAATGGGTGGGATTGGAGTCATGGTTTAGTTTTATAAGATTCAGATACAATTACAACTATGTTTGAAGAAGACCAACAAATTAAAGTCCAAACAAATCAAAATTAAGAACCATCTAAGAGAAATGTTAGAAGATCGACTAGAACAAGAACTGAGTCGACAAGGCTAGCTGGATATGAGAGACTTCCATATCAGACAATCGATGCAGATGGTGACTTGATAGAAGAAGAAATGATAATGGTTGAAGCATAACCAATCAATTTGCATCAAGCCATAAAAGATTCAAAATGGTTAGTAGCCATGAAAGAAGAACTCGGGTCAATTGAGAAGAATGAGACCTAAAAGCTTATTGAAAAGTCAGTGAAGAAGTCAATAGATGTGAAGTGGGTTTACAAGATGTAACAAAGGTCAAATGGAGAAATTTCCAAGCATAAAGGAAAACTAGTGGCAAGAGGTTTTCTGCAAAAATATGGTATTGATTTTAACAAAGTGTATGCACCTTTGGCGAGACTGGAAATAATCAAAATTGTTTTAATGACAACAACATACAGAGGGTGGAAGATACATCAGTTGGATGTAAAATCAACATTTCTAAATGGACCTCTGAAAGAAGATTTCTATGGCAGGTGTCGAAGGTGTGCAGATTGAGGAAAGTCTTGCATGGTTTGAAGCAAGCTCTAAGAGCTTCGAATAAGATAATAGATGGTTTCCTGATCGAAGTAGATTTCATAAAGTGGGTCTCTAAACATGAAGTGTGTGTCGATGATGTAGACATGGTCAATCAAATCATCATATTCCTGTATGTAGATGATTTGTTGATTACAGGTGCAGATGAAGTCGAGATAAGAAAATTCAAGTCAAAGATGATGCAAGAGCTTCATTATAATTATGTAATAGTGTTTTTCAAATAATTATGTAATAGTATTTTTCAAATAAATATTTCACTATAATTATGTAGTGTGAAATAATAATGTAATAGTATTAATTAAAATATTGTAATATATATTTGATGTAAACAATTAAACTACAAAAATGAGCAACCCAGTGAAAATGGGCGCCCCTTGTAAGGATGATCCCTTGTGTTCAACACTAGTTAGGTTCAAATTATGTAAGAATGTTTGTTTTGTTCAACAAATTTAGAAATATCACATATAAATTTATTGTCATTGGTATTGAGAGACACTATTTAGATATATCATTCATCCTATGATTATAAATATGCCATAACATAAATTTCCACAGAGTTTTAGGGAATAATATTGAAAGATAGAGAACTGTCAGCATTGTTTACATTGTATTTGAAAGGTATGTTTGGAAACTGTGTAGGTTTGAGATTCCTCATCAATTTGCACAACATATTCACTTGATTAGTAAAATCAATCATCTTCAAGGACTTCATATCCTGCAAATAGCAATGAGTTTGTGTAAATTTGGCTGACAAATTCTGAGACTAACACAACTTTGATACAAATATTAGATTAAGCTGAATTATTTTAAGTATAAAACATTTCTAATGTAAAGAATATAAGATATATGCACATTACCCACATTAGTTGCTTGGACTGAATTCCCATTTGGTAAGTCAGAACATATGTTAAACATGCGACTCCACACATAATAGGGGGTAAATTGTGGGGGTTTGAAAAACCTTGGGCTGAAATAAACTTATTTTGAAAATTAGAGTTTAAAAACATTCTCAAACAAAACAATTGGATATACAGCATAAAATCAATATAAAGAAAATAGGCAGAAAGTAAAAAGTTAAGAGAGGAGAGATAACATCAGAGATTTTTAGAGGTTCGATATAAAGAAATTTATCGTGAGAGTTTTCAATAATGCTTGAGATATTTTAGACGGTCATGCCCATGAACCTCCTTATATAAGGAAAAATGAAGTTTCAGGTTTACTTCCAACCAAACAGTAAATAGTGGAATGAAGTAGTTAGTATTCATGCCAAACACGAAAAAAAACTTCGAGCAGTTAGTCTCTCAGTTAAACATAGATTTTGTACGTACTTATCTCAAAGCAAAATGGAGTTTTGCTTTGGCTATTCTCTGAACCAAACCGATGTTTTATGCTGGGTTGATCACAGATCGAACCGAGGTTTTATGCCAGGTTGGTTTCTAACCAACCGAGCTTTTATATTAGGCTAAGCTCAAGAATCGATGTGAAGATTTTTCTCTGATTATTCTTCATGAACCCAAAAAGAAGGCTTTTCCTTAAGTAGTAGAGTTCACTAATCAGTCTAAGACTTAACACTTATCCCCCAAAAAGATATAATAGGTTTAGCCTCAAACCCAAACAAACATTTCCTAATGAAGAATAATTCACTCAAGAGGAAAAGTAAATATTGGTGAATTTACAATAATAATTCTTCTAGAACAACTTACTCACTTAAACAAAAGTACTTTTTTCTCAAAGTGTTATGGATAAAATTATGTGAGAGAAATAAAAATATTTAGAGAGAGATTGAGAGAGTGAGGAAGGTGAGATATCTCATGTTTCGAGATGAAAATAAATGTAGGGGAATGACTATATTTATATGCCAAAGGATGGTTTAAAAAAAGGAAACAAATCATGGGAAAAATTGATTACCTAATCGATTAGGTGCTAAGTTTAATCTATTAGATACCACAAATAATCGATTTCTTAAGCCCAATTTGGAAGGTTTTGATAGATAGTCGTTGCCATTCATTAAGACATTATCAATAATCTATTATAGACTCATTTTTCCTTTATCTAATTGATTATGTATTTGGTCTAACCGATTAGACAATTTTAAAAACTTTTCCTAATCAATCTAATAGTTTTTAGATGTCTGTTGCAGCTTGATATCTAAAAAGCAGAAAGGGAGGTACTCCTAGATGTCTGTTGCAGCTTGATATCCAAAAAGCTTATGATACCCTGGACTGGTATGCACTTGAGTGTATCTTTAAGGAATTTGGTTTCCCTCACAAATTCACCAAATAGATTATGCTGGCGGTGTCAACGGTTTTTACAAGTTTAATGTTGCTGGCAGAATTACTCGAAGCATGAAGGCTAAGAGGGGCATTAGACAAGGTGACCCTATCTCCCATCTTCTCTTTGTTTTAACCATGAAGTACTTCCATAGACTCCTTCACCAGTTAAGCAAGGTCCTTGACTACAATTTCCATGCAAAATGCGAAAACCTGCAAATTATCGAGATCAGTTTTTCGGATGATGTTCTCCTCTTTTCCCGTGGGGATGAAAAGTCAGTACAACTGCTTATAGATCAACTGCAAGCGCTCTCGCAGTCCACTGGTTTAATGGTTGACCATGCAAAGTGTAGGGTGTACTTCGGGGGTGTGGAAAATGAGACAAAAAATAATATCTTGGCTGCTACTTCGTTTATGGAAGGGGACTTACCCTTTCGTTACCTGGGGGTTCCTCTCACCAGTAAAAGGCTTTCAACGCAGCACTACATGAGTTTGGTGGACAGAATTGTTAACCGGATTTGTCATCGGATCTCTAAATTATTGAGCTATGCCGGCAAACTCCAGTTGATCAATAGTACCGTAACTGCTATAGCAGCTTACTGAATGAACTGCCTCCCTTTCCCCAAGCATGTGATCAAAACCATTAATTCTATCTGCATGTCTTTTCTGTGGACAGGTAGCGAGGTGAAGTCGAGGAAATCCCCAATTGCGTGGAAGATGGTTTGTAAGCCTCGGAGGCAGGGCGGTCTGAATGTGCTGGACTTATCAGAGTGGAACACGGCTTGTTTAACAAAATTGTTGTGGAACCTATGCAACAAGAAGGATTCTCTTTGGGTGAAATGGATTTACACTTTCTATTTCAAGACAACTGATATTCTGCAGGTCCAGGAAAAACAAAGTATGTCTTGGATTTTCAAAGCTCTTCTTAGACATAGAACCATCATATTTGCCATGGAAGATTGGAATGAAATTGAGAGATACTCTGTGGGAAAAGTGTACCAGTTCCTCAAGAAAGATGAACCTGATGTTGGATGAAAGCACATGTTCTCTAACTCTATTGCTAGACCAAGAGCCCTTTTTGCTATGTGGATGGCTTGCCACCGTAGACTTGCGATAAGGGGACGACTCAAAAAACTTGGCCTTACGACCGATGACAACTGTAAATTCTGCAACAAGGAGGAAACAATTGACCATCTCTTATTTGATTGCCTGCCGTTTAAGAACTGTTGGCAGCAAATTCTGGCGTGTTTGGGGATTCAACGTTTCCCTTGTGAGTGGCGTGATGAGCTCGAGTGGTTAGTCACACAATGTAAAGGGAAAGGTTGGAGGAAGTGCATATTGCGTAGTGCTGTAGCGGAAACCATCTATGAAGTTTGGAAGTATCATAACAATTCCGTCTTTGGCAATAATGTGAATTTGGAGATTAGAGATTTAGTCATTTCTACCCTTGCAAATAGAGAGTGGGTCAATTCTAGGATGAGACATCATATTGCTACACTTCTTATAGAATAGTGGTGGGTTTTTTTGGGTGTTTTGTGGTTTGGGTTTGTTTATACCCTTGTATATTCTCTTCTTTTGATTTTATATAAAATCTTTATTAAAAAAAAATTATACACGGACTGAAGATTGAACTATATAAGAGTCAAGTCGATACCTCATATCTAGGGGTGACAAAACAGGTTAGCCTCGTCGGGTCAGCCCACTTGACCCGCCATTTTTGGTGGACTGGACTGAAGTTTTTGGCTCGGTACTTTAAGTTGGTCCGCCCCACCTAACCCACTAGAAAAGCGGGTCGGGTCGGGGCAGAGCGGGTTTTGTCTGCGGGCTTTTTGTTAAAACTTTTTTTATTTTCTCACTTAGAATTAAAACAACTTTAACCATAAAAACACCATTATTCTCTTAGAATTATGTTGATTGAATTGTATTATAAATTATTATACAAACAAATTGAATTATAATTGTAATATAAATTATTATACAAACAAATTGAATTATAATTGTAACGTTATGTCTATAACTTGCTAAATTATTAAGTTGTCAAACATTAGCTCACATGTTTTCTTTAGAAATAGATGTTGATTTTAAGAAAAGGAAGAATTTGATTAGTATATACATGTGACAAATTTAGGATTTAACTATTAAGAAATCAGTCAAAATAAAAATATATATGATGTAAAGAGTGAGAAAGTCAAATGTTGATATTTTATGCACTACTATTTTATGCATTGTGATGTTTTATACAGTGTAATTGTTATCATTATTTGTCTTTTGTATATTCTTAATTAGGTTCTTTTAGTAGTTAGTTTTTAAATAGGATTAGGATGATATGTATTGTTTATTTATTTTGATACATTTTTTATTGTGCTTGAGTTTATTTCATTTTTTTTGTTGTAATTGATCTTTATTTATTTTATTTTTTGAATTGTTTGGACTTAAGACAAGTTGAAGTTCTATTATGAGTTAAAAAAAATATTTTGTTGACCTCTTTAGTAATAAATATTTTTTTTAAATAATGTAATAAATTAAATTGTAAAATAAAAAATAAAAAATTAGCGGACCAGTCCGCCAACTCGCCAACTCATTAAAAAACGAGACAGATTTGACTTTCGAGATCGGACGCTTAAGTTAATCTGCCCCACTTTTAAACGGGCTTAAATAGAGTGGACCTGAACGGGACGGGTGGTCCACTTTATCACCCCTAGTGATATCTAACCCACTAACATGGATAGACTATTTCAAATCATCCGGACAAGCTACTCCATGTCTGATTAAAGAGCTGAGTCTAATACAATTTTCACACCATTCAGATGGACAGAGTTTGGCTCAATACTTATCAAATAGTTTCCAATTTTAGGTGTGATTTAATTGAATACCAGACACAACCTGACAAGAAATGAAAGAGGTCGTTGGGGGAATGTGGTAGCTGATAACACAATATGATATAAAGTGTGCACGGTTGTAGATAGCATGTCTATTTGCTACGGTTTGTGGTTGAGGACCACTTCCATCTAATTATCACATTTTAACCTTACAACTTTTCTAGGGAAATAACATTGCATGGCCTACTATCATGACATTCATGGAGCCTAAGTTGGACTACATATATCTTTCCATCTTATCTTATCTTACCAACCAACTATAGGCTATAAATTCACTCACACATTATCTAACTACATTTAACCCTTATTTTTATATTGCGTCTGTTTTTTTCAAATACATAGTTCAGTGTAACAAATAAAATCAAAATTGATCACTTTCTTTAGTTTTTCTATTCATATTCACTCTCTTTGACTCTTTCAAAGCACAAAAAAATCATATATACATATATATAAGAAATTGTTTGAAGTTGAAACCACAACCAAATAAAAATGATAAAGATAAATACTACATGGCTAAAATAAATTTGTCAGAAATGTATTTTTTAATTTCGAAAATATATTTTTAAATTTTTTTTTTTACAGAATGAAAGTGTTGTTCATTTACGCATGTATTTGACATGCGTTCGGAAGTATATATTCAAAATTTCGAGATAATTTCAAGTTTTTAGCAATCTTTAAGATACCTAAAGTAATAAAAAAAATGAATTTTTTATTGCATCATATATGTTTCTAGTGACTATGTGAATTTTCATATATGTTTTTTGATTTCGGAGATACATCTTCGGATGCACCGTAAGTTCAATGAACGTTGAAATATTTCGAAGATATATCTCCGGAACAATTTGGAGTTTAACTTACGTCAGACTCTCCTCGCTCACACTTCTCAAACTCTTCTAAACATAAAATTTTAACTTTTTCACAACATCAAATTTCATCAAATAAGGTTCAAAGAAACATCAAACATCATTAATAACATCATTCAACATCATCAAAATCATAAATTTCAGGTAAATTTTTAGTTTTCGGATAAATTTTGAGTTTTAGTGTAAATGAGTAGAACTCAATGATTAGGGTTAGAAATGCCTAGGAATCACATGTAATATAATTTAGAATTAGTAGATATGACTTGCTTGTTGTCTCAAAATGACGATTAGGCCATGTTTTTTCAATATGCATAAGTCACATTACACCATTGACGCGACCTCTATGTTGAAGAACATTCTAGAGATGCATCTCAGAAATTGTTTAGAATTTCATATACTTTGGGAAATTCTGGAGAAACATCTCAGCAATTGTTCAACGTTATAGTTTTATGGTGTTTCTGGAGATGCATCTCCGAAATTGTTCAATATGTTATAGTTTTATGGTGTTTCTGGATACGCATCACCAGAATTTCCAGCAGTCTGTTTTTTTATATAGTATTTCATGTTTGTGTATTGTCTGTGTGCACTAATGATAAACGTTACTTTACTTTATAGACATTATGGCTGACAGAGTCGACAGACCGAGACACGGTCGGGTTGAGCAACACGCATCCGTTCGGCGGGAGCGGAGGCAGCAGGTTTCAGAGGCAGTAGGTATATCTGGTCAAGCAGAGGCGTCAACTTCTGGGACACATATATACTTTTGGGGCTCGACTTTCACCTCAGACCACTCATCTCAGGCCACTCCATTTTCTTCTTCTTCCCATAGGAGACATGATTCACCATCTGATGCGTTACTTCCCCCATCCTCTCGCAGGCGTCAAGACTCACCAGTGCCATCTCATACGGATCCAGTGTCATCTCTCGTTGATGATCATATTGATCATGTGGGACCTCCAGAGAGTGAGGATGTTGCGGATGCCGAGCCATAACGTTTTGAAAGATGTCCATATGATATATTATTACTTCCTCTATATCCAGACCACACTGCCATGCATATTTGGGACTGAGAGGTAGTATTAGTTGAATTCTTTATTTTCTTATGCGTTAATTTTAATTTTAAATGATGACATTGATTAGTTTCGATATTGATTATTTCTCAAAAATTTCAGGAGCGTGGTCCCCAGAAGTTTCTGAACCATGGAAGGAAGATTGCTGCATTGTCTCAGCAAGAGGATGATTGGTTTCATACAGTTTTATCTTTATCTGGTCTGAAGAACCTATGCATGACCAGTTACACTCTGGTCAACTAGGGGATAATTAATGCATTCGGGGAGAGATGACACTCTGAGACCTCTTCGTTTCATCTTTAGCATGGTGAGATGTCTATCATACTGGACGATGTCTCGTGTTTGTTACATCTTCCGACCAGGGGGAGATTCCTCGATCATGAGAGGATTACCAGAGGCGAGAAAATTGAGATAACAGTAGAGAATATAGGGGCAAGTCAATAGAAGACGATGGATGAGGTGGAGAATATTAAGAGTGTTAATGTTAGATTTGAGTTCTTGAGCAAGTTGTATGTGGCTAAGATTAGGAAGGCACAATAGGCACATGATTATGGTGCATATCAAGCATTATATAGGACGCATGCTTTGAGAGCGTACTTTTTTTTGTTGGCACTTGTATTTTTATGGACACGAGTGCCACCTATATTGACATCGTCTACCTCTGGTACTTCTTGGATCTATAACAAATTCATGAGTACAACTGGGGGGCATCTTGTCTAGCCTATCTTTATTCGAAGTTGAGGGAGGGATGCATGTGAAAGACGAAGTAAGCCACATGCAGCTGTCATACCCTAATTTTTGATCCTAAGATTCTTTTTTCTTTCGCATCGTCTGCATAACATAACATGCACTTCATCTTGCATTGTGTCCGAAATATCAGTCAGAATAAATTTGTTGGATTTACAGATAAACTGGTCTTAATTTATTTCAAAATCTGACCAAACTTTATATTTTTCCAATATGTTTATTTCGTGCTGATTATTTTGGTGTGTTCGTTTTAATTTTGGTGTGTTCATTTAATTTATTTAGATTTAATTATATATTTGATGTAAATTTTTATTTTTATTAATTAATTTTATTTTTAATTTGTTTATTAATATTTTCATTTTAAAAAACACAAAAACATGATTTTTAATTCTTTTTATTCTTGTCTTATTATAAAAAACACAACAAAAAAAATAATTCTTTTTATTTTTGTCTTATCATAAAAAACACAAAAATATGATTTTTAATTCTTTTTATTCATGTTTTATCATAAAAAACACAAAAACATGATTTTTAATTCCTTTTATTCCTGTCTTATTATAAAAAAATAAAAAATATATATATTGTGTTAATTGTTATTATCATTCTTGTCTATTTTCTAGTCCTATATATATGCATTATAAAAAACAAAGATACAAAAACAAAATTGAAAACAACAAGAAATTGAATTCAAAGAAAACATGAAAAATAAAAGGAAGTTAGAATCATGAGCTCCATCGTCACACCGCTTCCGGAGTCATCCCTGTAATCGCCACCGAGAATTGATCACAACCGCTTTGACGCTGCACTTCATCAAGACTCCGCCAACACGCACCAACTGATACCTCTTTTGCGCTCAGATCTCACTTTGTTCCACGTGATAAGCTCGTGTCGTTGCGACACTTCAATTTCGGTAACTTGTGTTCTTCTCTGTTTTTGTTGGGTGCTTGCTTTAA